CATTAAATCTCTCGAATATATAATAAAAATGACAATCATATTATAAATAATATACTGAATTTGTATATGATATTCAATACAACTATAAACGAATAAACTTAAAAATTCAGTGAAACGTTACCGAATTCTTTTATTATAACGAATTGTGATCTCTGAAAATGGAGATTCGTTATAGATCACTTCAACTGTATACATATATACATTGGTTCTAATTAAGATTTAATTTTTTAAATTTAAATTTAATATACTTATATCAGATTTATTTTTGAAATTTAATAAATTTAAACAAAAATTATTTTGTATGAAATCTTTTTTAATATTAATAGCAATTATTTTATTTTCAAAGAAAAACATTTTTATAGAATTTTAAAATAAAGAAATTATGCTTTTTTTATATTTAAGCTTTTTAAATCATCCTGATTTAGTCACGAAAGATTTGTATAAGATCTGAATACTAATTAACCTTTAAATATCCATTACTCAGATCTTTTAATATTTGACTTATTAGGTGGTAAGTCCTGTAAAGAAAGAATTTATTTTAAGTTTTTTTTTTAAAAAAAAAATTTAAAAACAAATTACAATTAAAAAGAATTTATATTACATTTTTTTAATAAAAATCAAACATATTAATTAAAATTACTTACCTTTGTAAATATTAAATCTTTCAAAATTTGAATTGGTTAAAAATAAGTTCTATAACAAATTTATGTTAATAATTTTTTTAAAAAAAAATATCTAATTATAATTATTACTTTTTATATATACTACCTTCTTCTCTCATCAAATCAGAGGTAAGTTCTATAAAAAATATTATTTTAATATAAAGATTTTTTAAATTAACTAATGACATTACTCATCTTTTAGTAGATACTGAATTCTTTAATCATTGGATCATTTGAGATAAGTCCTATTAAAAAAGTATTGTTAAATAATTTTTTTTTGTACAAAAAAATTCTAAAATTTATTTACCTTCGGTAAATAAAAAATATGTAATATATAATGACCTATATATGTATATACAGTAATTAATTTATGGTGATATATGGCTGACCAGCTAGTAATATGAAAAGTTGTAGACTTAGATCAATCTATTAAATATTATATGATGCAAAAATTATGTTGACTATAATATGATCAATCATATACTACATCTTATCTTAGTTAATATATATATATATATATTAACATTTAAGAGATGTAATATATGATTCATAAATTTCATATTCATACTCACTTGCTTTTATATGATTTATAATTATAATTTTGCTAAATAATTATATTAAAATAATTTATTTTAATATTAAAGAATCGTAACCTAAACTTTAATTTTTTTCTAATAATAGTTTTAGTTAATATTACTTTAAAAGCAAAAATAATAATAAATAAAATAAAATTATAATGTAATATTGATGTTATTTTATTTGTAAAATTTTCTATTTTTCAAAATAGTAATGATCTGTCTAATTTAACTAAAATGTAATATCATTATATACAACTATTTTATAGATTTTAGATTGTATTTCTTTTTAATAATTAACAATTCCATTTTATAAATTTTTGTTTCTCTTTCTCTTAAATTAAATTCATGCTTTTTTAAAGTTAAAGCTCATTCTTTATATTTAAGTTCACTGAGTTTTAAAGTTAATTCACTTTTTTTATCATCATCTTCTTCAATGCTACTTTTTTAATAGTTTTGTTAAAACTTATATATAAATATTCTTTACTATCTTCTTCAATATCTGTTTTAATTTTTTATTAAAACCTGTATATTTATATTTAGTAGAAATTGATTTTGTATTATTTAATTTTTTAATTTTTACATTAGCTAAATTTTTAATTAAAATATAAAGTTAATAATTTAATATTTATTATAATAATATTATTTAATATTATTATTATAATTTGAAATTAACTTACTGTTATATTTATTAAACTTATTATTATATAAAATTAGACTTTTATCATATTCTCGATTAGGTATATTATATTTTTTATAAACATGAATAGTAGTAAATCTTTCTTTATCTAATTTCTATCTTCTATAATAAATTAATATAAATAATTTTTTTTAAATAAAAGAAATAAAAATAAAAAATTTACATACTGTAAAATAGCGGTTAATAACTTAAAATCCCTTTCACGACGATTGCATAATACATAAACTGCTTCTGCAATATTTATATTATTAGGTGATATTATTTAAACTTTATTAGTAATTTTTGATATACATTTATTAAGTAATGCAATAATACATTTTTAACGATAGAATGTAACCCAATATAAAATAATAATAATATCATTTAATATTATAATAAAAATTTATTTAATTAATTTTTATTAACCTGCTGCATTTTCTTCAATTGCTTGAATATCATCAAATAATTGATTAACAACATTTTCTGATTCAGCTGTAAGAAGCATAAGTATTTTGTTTTTTATAATATCACTAAAACCCTTTTCTTAAATTTTTCTACATATTAATATTAAATAAATTAGTTTTTATTTAAATAAAATTTATTTATAAATAATTTACCTTTTATAATAAACTAGACATAATTTAAAAATATAAATCAAGTGCTCCTCCTAATCCTTTGTATTATAAATTTTATTTAAAACTAATCCAAGTTTTTTAGTTTACATATAATCCAAATCTGTAATAATACAATTCTAGTCAGATCCATTAATATGTTCAAATTGAGAGGATAAACCTGTTAATTGAAATATAAGGTCAAATAATAAATAAAAAATTCTTTGATATGCAATTGTAGTTATACAATTAGTAAAAATATGGGCAATGTAAATACTAAAATAATTAAAATAAATATCAATTAATATTCATATAATTTTAAATAATATATAATACTAATTTTTATTATACAATAAAAAACTTACTTAGATTATATTCATTACTATAATAATTAACTTCAAATTCGTTCATTTCATCTAATACATATTTAAAAAATAAATTAATTTAAAAATGCTTGCATTTTGTTTACTCAATTAATTGTTCAGGAGTTGTATAAATAATTAATATATATTTGTCTTTAAAGAATTCTAATAATAAATATATTATTTATTTAAATTATTATTAAATAAAATAAATACAAAATATAAATTTTATTTTTAATATTATCTAAACGTTTTACATAATTATAAAAATTATTAATATTATGTGAATAGTTATAAACAACTCCAAGTAATCCATGTCCTTGTAGATGAATTTCTTTTTAAATTTTATCAACGTAATACTGAAAATGATTAGTATTATTCAAAGATACATATACATCAAAAAGATATTCAATTCCAAAATATGTTTTAATTAAATTTCCTATTAAATAAAATAAATTCATTTAGTATAAATCCAAGAAATTTTGAATAAAAAAATCTAATATAATAAATAAATATAAATATGTTTTTTTAATTATTAATTTAGAATATTTAACTCTACATGACTTTTTTATAAGTGATCCTTGCTTAATAATATTTCCAGAATGATGAGAATGTGCTACCAATACATATTTTATTTAAATTAAGTAATTTAGCAGTAAAATTTTAAAAAATTATATATTAAGATTAAATAACTTACAATAATATGCTCTTTTTGTACTATTGCTAAATACTGCAAAACAGTTATTCACCGGTTTATCTGATTTCTCCTAAAAAATTTTTAAATTAAGTTAGATAAATAAATAAAAATATTAATTTAATATTTAATATAGTTATATTTAACCTCATATAATCCGTCTAAAAGTTACTAGGTCTATATTTTCTTTAATACTAATAAACTGGTAAAATCTTTCATTTATCTTCCATCCAGTATAACCAATAAAATATGATGGTGATATTGTTTGATCATGACGTCGTAAACATTTTAATATAGGTTTGCCTGTACATTAAATTCCATTTTGTATATATCAGCATTCAGTTTTATATGCAGCTAAATATTTACTTAAAATAAAATTAATTAGTAGATTTTATAAAAAATGATCGCTGTTATGCATAATAGATATATTATGCAAATACTTACGCAAAAGTATTATTTTTCACGTTATCAGTTGATAATTTTTAATCTTAAATCTGATTCTGGATCTACTGACTTATGTTTCATTTCCTGAAGTTCTGAATCTGCAAATTCGCACATTTTAACTCCATGACAAGTTCTATCTTTTTTAATTACAGCAATATCGCCAAGATAAGTACAAGTTGTTTTATTAAGACCGAAAGGTAAACCCATAGAATATTGAATCTTTAAATATTAACAATTATTAGTATTGTTTTAATTATATTAAATAATTTAAAATAAATATTACATCTACAAACGCCATTTCTATATTTTTCCATCCTTCAACATGGTAAATTATAGCAGTTCCTTCTTCACTTGTTGGTGGATATTCTATCGGAGTTAATGAATGAATAATTATTTTAACATTTATATTTTTTGTAATATATATTTCTGTATCATCTTCCAGCTCGGTTAAAGATAAATTATATATTTTATGGTTAAATAATTTTTTTATTATAGTATAGTTTACTTTATAAATATATACATATAAATAGCAAGGTTACCTCAGAAATAAGGTCTTCTTCATAAATGATATTTTCCTCATTAACATAATTAGTATCTGACATGTTTATCTGAAGAGACATGAAAATAGTAAAATTTTTCTCTCCTGATTTTATTTTATGTATGATCGATCTGATTATAACGATAAGATGTAAATCTTTTCGTATCACTCAATTGTGTATCACTTCTAATTTCACACAACTTTCCGTCACGATACATACATACATCTATATACTCCAAAAATTTTATTTTTGAGGATGCTATAGATTCAAAAATTTTCCATCTCGGTGGGGAAAATCTATGTATATCGCATAAAACGACTGACGAAACGCGTATTATAATCATGTAAAATTTATTTGCCGATTATTAAATCATGATCGCCAACCAATAAAAAAAACTTTCCATATGCTTTTCTGGGTTTCCAACTTTCCAAACGATGAACTATTACAAAAATACCCCTGTTGAGGAATGGACGCGTGCAAATATAATAGATCATTACCGCGGAGAAAAAATAATAACTTTACAACAAAGAGCGAAAACCCTTGATACAATCAAAAAAGACCTTCAAAAGGTTACGGCTGATTCGGAATTTGATTTAACTCGTAGGAATAAAGCACAAACTATACTTAATAATTGGTCGGTGAGTTGATTTAATAAATTTAATAAGAAGAATTGAAGTCCTTTGAGAAGAACTCTTAGTTCATAAACCTTCTTTTTCAAAGAGGTTGCTGAAACTCTTAGTTTACAGCGGATAGCCCAACTCTTAGTTGAGGATGATTCCAAGGGAGTAGGTTGGGACTCTTAGTTGCAACCATAGCCTTAACTCTTAGTTAGCGCTAAATTCTTCAATAAATCTCCCTTGTGGACGGATATTCTTGTTTCACTTTATATAATCAGGGCTTACGAGATGATTAATTCTGTTTTTAACAAGAATTGGTCTTCTGCGTTCAAGACGAATAAAAGACGGTTAAATGGTAACGAAATATCCAATAAGATTGGGATAATCCGTGCTAAACAACAGCTCCGTGCAATTAAAAATTCAGCAGAACAAGTAGATATTTTTCAAAAACAATTTAATGAAGATACCCAAAAACGCAGTCTAGAAAACCGTGATGATCATGAAGTGCGAGGGAAAAAGGTAAGATTACTTGTAATACTTCAAAGTTGCATAGATAAACTCGCTAACATGTAATCTGGATATGCTAGATCAAAACTAGTCTTCCATCAATCGAAATAATTAAAACCTGGAATTCAGAAAGACTAATCGAGTTCTTGAAAGAACAAAACTTATTTTTGTGTGAAAAACACTTTGATATTCTACGTTCGCAAGGAGTCACTGGCTACTCTTTTCCTACATTTACAAAGGAAGAATTTCAAGAATGCGGATTAGAAATAGGACCAAGCAAGGCTCTTGCAACCTTAATTAATGACATTCATAATGAAGCGAGTAAGTAATTATAATATTGTCGTGGCTTATTTCTAATATAATCAAATTCCTGATTTTTACTCTCATTTTCAGCAAAGTCTGTTGCAATTGAAATCAAGTTCGATCGGAAAGATAGTCATGATGAAAATTTTAAAGCACTTCGCAAAGAACTTTCTGAAAAGATTCGTGGAAGTCTTCGCGAAGAACTTTCTGAAGAGCTTCGTGAAAGCATCCGAAACCTCCGTGAAAGTCTTTGTAAAGATCTCTGTTATAAGTTAAATGAGGTCGAATAGTTCTTTATTAGATGATCAAAGTTAAATGCTTATAAAATATTATTTCTGTGGTTTTTACGGTGTAAATCTTTCTTTGCTTATGAAAATATAATAAGAGCAATATAAAATGATCTTGCATTACATATTACTACGTCACCGTGGTCTCAAATAATCATATTTTTCGTTTCTGTTTTTTTTCCTATGCCCAAAACATCACAAAAATGATAAACTTGAAAAAACTATTATTAACTGCTAAATTGCTATAATTCTTATATATAGCAAAATCTATTTCTCCTTCCTTATTGATTCTAGTTGGATTGATGAATATTGGAAATCTGTAAGAAAATATAAGAAAAAAGAGAGATTCTAGCTGGATGGATGAGTATTTGGATTCTGTAAGAAAAATATAAGAAAAGAGAGAGAGATTATGTCACAATCAAAGAGATTGTTCAATCAAACAATCATAAGCTAATAAATACAAATACTTAATTATGAAAAACTTTAATATACAACGGTTATTCAATGAGTTTACAGAGTTTACATTAGAAACCAACTATTGTGATAATATACAATCTCTGTCAAAAGTTAATGGCGGACAGTTTTTTTAACCTTATGCATGTAATTTTATATCAAATATAGGTAAATTTTTTTTTTAAAATAAAGATAAAAATAATATTTATAAATTTTATTAGATAATTAATATGTAGTATGTCTTCCATTTGTATCAATACATGCTTGAATTCAATTAGGCATTCTATTGATACAGTTAAGTAATATAGAGTTATCAAGATTATCCCATTTCTTCATTAAAAAAATTTCATTTGAAATTTTATTTGTGCAACTAATATTTTAATATTTTTCTCAATTTTTTTTAAAAACAACCCAAATATTATATGTTTCTATTCCAAAGAAACTTTATGACTTCACAACTCATTTTAATAAATATTGATGGTATTATGATTTTGGTGAGTAATAAAAAATACAAAAGAGGTAAGATCTTTTTTTTATTTATTTTTGTTTTGGATTTGACTTTTAAGAATATTAAAATAATATTCTTTTATTTCTCGAATCACAGTCCTAGCAATTTTTCAAAGGAGTTTGTTTTTCAGAATGCCGGCTAGGTAAATGGAAGGATGGTGTTGCTATTTTTAATTTTTTTAATTAAAAAATCATTTCTAACTCTAACTTTTCTAACTATTTGTAGGTTTGACTTTTTTTGGATAACTGGACTTTAAAGGTAATTGGAAGGAACTGGATGCTTTTTTATTTTTTTTTAATTCCAGGCTTGTCATCTATAAGAAATTTGGTAAGTGAACATAGAGCAAACTTAAATTGTCTACGCTTATCGAATTCCTTTTCTAGTACTTTCTTAAACTGCTTTCTTCGGCTCTCTAACATTTTTCGTATATCACTTCCATTATCAGGATATAATTTTGGAACTTTTGCGTGATGTACGGCTATAGCTCTTCTTCTAAGTGCCATACCTAATTCTTTTTGCTTCCTAAATTCTAGGTCTTTTTCTTGTTTATTAGTAATCCCCCCAAACGCCTGAATTCTTCCATTTGATATTTCTCATACTTCTCTTTTGTAGGAAGTTGAATGGCTTTTTGAATAGCTTCCTGATTAACAGTTTGAGGTCTGCATGGATTTTTTCGTTTAAGATGCTCTCAAAGTTTATTTGGATTTACACACACTTTACCACAACGTTTACAAGTTATATCTTTTTATCACTTCTAGATTTTCTAACTATGATGTTAGCTCTTATTATCGTGCTATTACTTGCTTATAAAATCTTTTCTTTAATTAATTATTTCCTATACATTTCAAAATGATCAGTAAATATTTGTGCCTATATCTCAGCAACTCCGGAAAGGCTTATACGAGAGCTTGTATTAAGCCCGAAGGGTATCAGTTCCATTGGAAAGCTAAAAAATGGGTATCATGCTCTGATTGCGGAAAATCTACTGCTTCTGCTTGTGGTCAGTGTCCATCACATATTAAGGGTACTATGTTGTCCAATACTATAATAGATTGCGGGCTAAAACTTTAAACCAGGATCGGGAATATAACTAAGAAAAAGTTGGGATAAAAATTTTCGCTAGACGACATAGAAACTGTTCCTGATATACATTTTTCGTATGATTTATTAATAGGGAATTGGGACAAAAATTTTTATTATATTTCCTAATCTCTGAGAGGCATTTAACATACTTCCTGATATACATTTTTTGTATGATTTATTTTGTATGAATTTTTTTCGTATGACTTATTAATAGGAGAATTGGGACAAAAATTTTTATTATATTTCCAGACCTCTGAGAGGCATTTAACATACTTCCTGATATATATTTTTGTATGATTTATTTTGTAAATTTTTGTATGAATTATTTTTCGTATGACTTATTAATAGGGGAATTGAGACAAAAATTTTTATTATATTTTCTAACCTCTGAGAGACATTTAACATACTTCCTGATATATATTTTTGTATGATTTATTTGTGAAGGAATTAGGACAAAAAATTTCGTATGATTTATTTGTGAGGGAATTGAGACAAAAATTTTTATTATACTTTCTAACCTCTGAGAAGCATTTAACATACTTCCTGATATATATTTTTGTATGATTTATTTGTGAAGGAATTGGGACAAAAAAAAAATCGTATGACTAAAAAATCGATATAGATTTTACAAGAGAACAGAACACACAATGTCAGTAGGGTAAGAGACTTCGTTCCAAAACCCCCACAATGACATTATGTTATTGGAAACTTATCATTAATATTATTGATGATGTTAAAAATATCATAAATAATTCATCAGAGAGCAATGATGCAATTTTATATAATAATAGAGCAAATTGGAATTGATACGATTTCAGCGAATTTTTTAAGAAACATTTTACACCTCTTCTCAATATAAAGCAATACTATCATTTTCGTTTTAGTTCTAATGATATTGGTAAAGTATATGTATCAAAAGAATCTGGTGGAGATGAGTCTTGTTTTAAATTATTAA